TGATATGAATTCATTGGAATAAAACAACTTGGATGAGTTGGAAAAAAAAACCCAAACAACAAGTTTTGACCAGTGGTGAATCAATAGAAATGAAATATCCCAGTTCAGCTATCACAGCAGAAAGGAGAACTTAATAAATAGGTGACTATGTTGGGAGAAGAAATGACCCAAGTCAGATTCCTAGTCTGATTTCTGATATTTGTCTTTCCTCCTTTAATGCCCCTGTCTCCTGCTAAGCTTTCCACCGGGGCTGGGTGGACTGACCCCAAATGAGCTCCAGATTTTTGGGAGGCTGCAGGTGCACTGATTTTGTGAGGTACTGGGTTCTGTTTCCTCCTGACTTCACTACTGTGTCCTTTTTACAGTCAAAAGTCTCTCACCATCTCTTCTTTCCCTCGTCTAAACCCTATTCTTCCCTGATTTTCCATTTCCTTATTAGAACTCCTCAGCCTGGTTTCCACTGTCCCCCTTTCAGCAGTGACCTGCAGGCTTATTCCCCGTTGTTGTTGCTGCGTGTATCCAGATGGACATCCACTTCCACCAGCCAGTCTTCTCTCCTGAAGTTAACCCCTATTTCCCTGCCTGTACCACACAAATGACAGCTGCTCTGGGAGAGGCAGCTGAACTGGCTCCTCTTCCTCATCCATGTGGCTTCTCCAACTTCCTCGGCTTCCCGTTATAATGAAGGGCATTGACAACCAGCCTGACAAACCAGAATGGAAAAAGCCACTGTCACAGGGCCATTGGGGACCGCTGACAACTGTCCATGGACAAACGGGGCTTCCCAGCTGGGGCTGGTGCCTGTTCACTCTTGCATCTCATCTCCTAGATCCCAACTGGCTTTTCCTATCAGGAGGCTGATGCCCTCTGGGGACTAGCTCAGAAGGATCAGTCTGGCACCCATCAGGGTAAGGCACAGAGATTTCTTGATATTTTTTTGATCAGTTGTCTTAATCTCCAACTTTGCTGGGAAATCTTTTAATCATATAGGATGGAATTATATAATGGGAGTGCTGGAGCAATTTAAAACAATGATGACTATTTGTGCAAGACCAAACTTCTACATTTACTGATGAAACACCTTCCATCTGTCCTTCCTTACATCTGTCCTCTCTTCCCTCCTTTCTGTCCATTAGTCCACCCATCCATCCACCCTTTCTTCAGCACAGACACAAAGGGTGACTACTACTGACCCAGGTCAGATATGCAATGAGTACATGATTTGTAAGTCTTTCCAGCCCACTTAAGCTCCTCTCTCTCCTCCCTGAGCTCCATTCTTGCCCTTGGCGGAGGCAGCCCCAGGACGAGGTGCCAGATGCGCTGTGCAATCCCAGGCTTGCCTCGGCAGGGACAAGGACCAGTTGTCCAAACGCCCTCCACCTCTGTGATGTAAGCCAGGACTGTCACCAAGGCTTCCTGCAGCTCCCGGCACACTTGTGACAGGACCGGCTGACGCAGCCCGAGGAAACCCGCTGAGGGGGACACATGACTCACAAAGGGCTGGGGTTGCCCAACACAATGAGGCACACAAAGACAGCAGGGCCTCTGGAGAGAGGAAGGTCAACTCCTGAGCTAACTGCACTGCTGTGGGCATCTGTTCCCTGGGCTACAGCTGCACAGTCCTGCTGCAGGGGTGTTGCTTTTAACCCCTGTGGCAGCCACAGAAAGGGCTCTGGAAAGGGCAGTTTCAGGTTTGGTAACTGGGCGCATCGCTGACGCTGAAAAAGCTTTTCCCTCAATAAATGATGAGGTGAGGGATGGCTTGAGTTGCTGGGACTACTCACTCTCTGCAGTTCTGTGGCTGGCAGCTGCTTTTGGAAAGGTTTTTCTTCTAATGCCCTCCTAAAACTAGTCAGCCATGTAGTGACCTGGGGAAACATCGACTCCAGCGATGTCTGCACAAAAGCAGAAGAGCATTTCAGAGGGTTTACAGCAAGCCTTATTTCAGACCCTTCCACAGAGCACCAGGGAGGAGTTGTTGCTGCTGCTTTCTAGGTCAGATAGCCCCAGGCCTGAAAACAAGCATCAGATGGCCTTTGCCTGAATCCCAGAAGGCTGGAACAGGTTTTAGATAAAATATATAGAGTTGTGGGCAAGAACCCCAGGGTGGGGTTACCCAGAGGGCAAGTCGGGGATGGGCTAGGTTTGGAAAGGATAGGGAGACGTCCAATGGAGCATTGCTGCAGCTATGGGAGCTGTGGCTGCTCAGTCCTCCAGAGAGCTGCCAGCACAAGTGTCTGAGGGAGAAACCCTGCACAGTGACACACTGGTGGCCCTGAGGACAGGTAGATGGTCACCTGTCATCCACCAGTACGATGACAGGATCATCAGGTGGGCCTCTCCACACCATATCTACTGCCAATCCCTGTCCCCCCACGCCCACTCCACCGTGAAGCAGTTTGTCCCAGGCAGGGGAGAACTGCCCTGACAGGAGCCTGTAACACTCGTGCAGGAAGTGAAGCCGTGGGGGAAGGAAGGCTCAGGCAGGGCCACCTGGGAGGCACAGCACAGGTGCTCTCACCGTGGGGAAGAGGCGGCCCAAGGTGAGTCTGGCAGTGGGTGGTGCAGGAGAGGAAGAGCTGCACCAGAGGGACGGAGGTGGTGCCAGCAGAAACCATGGAAAGAATGAGGGAGGTTCACTCTCAGAGACAAATTATGTGGGGTGTGTCAGCAGGACCCGGCTGTGTGGCTGCTGGACTGGGAACCTCCGTCCAGCCGGCACAAGCTATTGAGGTGGCAGGCTGGTATGTGGCCCCAAGCTCTGCAGTTTCTCAATCATGTGCACGAGAGAGAAAAACACAGGTTCTGGAAGGGCTGTTATGGGCTGGGAGTCAAGATGAGCAACAGGATAGGTGGAGAAAGCCCAAGCCAAACCAAAACAGTCAGCTAAATGTTAAGACAGATAGAAAAAATAAACAAATCCTGCACAGACCTGAAAGTGGACTATTCCTCTTAAATGTGCCTGAGTCAAAGTTAAAGGCATGATAAGCACCAGACTGCTGGTACTGCAACTGAAACCTTCTGCAAGAGCAGCAAGGGGCACGGGGACCCGAGTGCTGCAGCAGAAAGGTGCATCTTCAGATCCGCTCCCCTTTTGGGATGCTCCTGCCAAGGGGAGAAGCAGATAGGGCAGCACGTGGGGACCGGACCTCTGGGCTGAGTCTCTCTGGGAGTCCAGGAAAAGTTTCTGAAGGATGAACAGGGACCAGCCAGAGCAGTTCACAGACTGGCAGGGAAGCCTGAGGGGGAAGCAGAGATGTGTCATCACAAATCCTAACTGGGTCATAGCAAGAATGGAAGGAGGCTCCAAGAATCGATTTTTGGCCCATCTTCCCACTGGGAAAGGCTGCACTAACAATGAGGCTGTGGCTGAGGTTGCCATTAGCCGTCACCAGTAACCCAGCAGAACAGGTTCCTGTGTCCCAACTGGATTACAGGAGAAGGAGAGAGGAAGTGAAAAGCTGAAGAGCAGCTAGGAAGGGCCCTGTGACACAGAGTTAATCCAGTTAACTGGGAATGACCAATGATCCCCTTCTAACTCAATGCTGAAGGGAGACACGAAGGTCCAGGCAGACCAGGGAAAAATTTGTACCAACCAAACCCATCTTAACCATTGACTGATCTGCACTGAGGGCTGGGCAAGGACTGGTCTGTGGCACTGCCAGTGCAGAGAGTTTGAGTTATCTCAGAAGGTGGCAGAAGGTAGCCACAGGCTACCTGCACAGACCCAGCATGGTGAGTGTAATCCCTACAGGATAACCCACTGTTGCACAAGTCAAGAGATCATAGCTCTCACACCCACAAACTCCCAACAATGCAGGCCAACCGGGAATGACGTAAAGGTTGGGCTTTTTCTCACATCTTCTGAAAGTGTGAGAAGTGATGGGATTAGCAAGGATGATTCAGGTGGTACAGGAATCCTTCCTGTTCACTGGGAGCCACACATGGGGTGTAGCTGAACCCAGCAGGTTATTCTATCAATATTTTAGGCCAACAAGATATCTGCATTATGCCCAAACTCAAAACCTTTCCTTGCCCTCCTCCCACCTGTAGGAGGGACAGTGTGGCAGAAACAGTGTGGGGAGGACTTGTGTCCTGGTTCTGAGGCAGATTTCCTCACACCCTGAGCAGCCACAGGTCAGTGTGTTCAGCTGCAGAGATCCACTTGTGCTGCTGTGCCCCTGCTGCAATCCAACACATAACAAGCACAACCTTCCTGAGGGTATGGCCTGGCATCTGTGTTGCTGTCATGTACCTGTTGGATAGGCTACACTAGGAGCTGTGTTTTAAGACTTCCTACAATTATGCCAGATAAAAGCTGTTCATTGGAACTAAGGTGCATTGATATATATTATTAACAATACTGTGGTTTCTCTCTCCAAAAATAACTGCTGGGGTTTCAAAGATCCTGCTCAGTCAAGCCATGTCCAGTTTTGCTCTAAGATTATTGAGTGATCATTAATCCAGCACAGCCAAGCCCACCACTAAGCCATGTCCCCAGGTGCCACATCTACATGTTTGTTAAATCCCCCCAGGGATGGTGACTCCACCACCGCCCTGGGCAGCTGTGCCAGCCCTTTCTGGAAGAAGTTTTCCCAGTGTCCAACCTGAACCTCACCTCGTGCAACTTGAGGCCTTTTCCTCTTGTCTGGTCCCTTGTTCCCTGGGAGCAGAGCCTGACTCCCCTCTGGCTCCATCCTCCTGTCAGGGAGTTAGAGAGAGCCAGAAGGTCCCCCCTGAGCCTCCTTTTCTCCAGGCTGAGCCTCCCCAGCTCCCTCAGCTGCTCCTGGTGCTCCAGCTACTTCCTCAGCTCTGTTCCCATCTCTGGACATGCTCCAGACCCTGAATGTCTTTCTTGTTGTAAAGGGCCCAAAACTGAACACAGGATGCAGCGACAAAGACATGAAATAGGACTGGCCTCAGTACTGAGCCCTGGGGAACCAGTTTCCACCAGCTGGAGGTGACTCCACCGACCCATCATCCTTTCAATGCAGCAGATATTTTGACTTTGTCTAAACTTTTATTTCAAGGAATACAATTGCTTTGAGTATATTCACAAGAATAAATATAAAATTCTTCTCTCCAGAGCAAGAAGATGAGTTTTTATAAAAATATATCTCTATCCCACAGAACCACTTAGGTGGGGTTCCCTTTAGGAAATATTATTTAATAAAAAAATAAAACACTGCAAATAAAATGCTTGACCTATACAGATTGAATCACCGAACAGTTGAAAGGTTATAAATATAGTAAATATTATTAATAAAAATAATATTTAAATAGATGGGAAGCCACTGAGTCCATCCAGATGAACGGAACACTGCAGGAAATCACCGTTTCTCCTATAGGGCACCGACTTCCTTGTATTCACTGGCGTTTGTTTGTCTCCTCTTGTTTCGGTACCTGGAGTAGAGGAGAGAAATGTGAGTTCTGGAAAGATGGTTGTTCCAAATGGCTTTTTGGGGAGTGAAGGGAAGGAAGGAAAAAAAAAAGCTGTATGACCTTCTAAAGTTTGTTTTAAATCTCTCCTCCTTTAAATCTCTAGCTCCTGGGCTCTGTCTGCGCTCATTTCCAGGTCTGAGATCACTCATGTGCAGTCTCCTTTCTCAGCTCTTCACTGAAAATTCCACATCTGCCTTAAAGTCTTCCTGTGGGTTAGTAGGTCTGTCTTTGAGAAATCCTGCTGGTTACCATCTAGCTATCAGATCTGGGAGGCTGAGCTCTCCCTCTGGAGTTGTTCCACCTCCTCAGCTCTCTGGCAGCTGCTTACTGTTAATTTTTAGCCTGGAGAATGATTCCTGCTGCTTGTGGGTCTGTTCATGGAGAAGACTACTGTCCCCCATGGTAAAGCTGATAAGGCAATGCTCATGATATCACAGGCACCACAATAACATGGCAGATAACGAATTAGCAAGCAGTAATACAGTTGTTCTCCATTTCCTGCTGACTGGGGAAATGGCACTACCAATAAAAGAACCAGAACTTTCCTATTCCCTCTCTGCTCACTCCTTGACCTCAACACACCCTCTAAGCCAGACATGCTTACATAGTCCTTAGATAAGCTACATAGTCCTGTGCCGGGGTGAAAAGGCACCTGAGAGTGCTGCAGCCTGGCCTGCAGTTTGGGTTATGCCACGCTGTCAGCACACTGCCTTTCCTGAGCACTTCTGCTGCGGGCCAGCAGGTCTGTACATCAAACCGAACCCATGCACTTGAGGCAGTGCGGTGTCCCAGGCTATCCACAGGTACTCCGAGGGTGCCTGGCAACACCTGCAGCCAGTTCACCTTCCTGAGCCACCCAGGACACCTGTCTTACCTCCTGTAGATGTAGTAGCTTGCAAGGGAGATGGCGGCGACGAAGAGCAGAACCACGATAACCGTCAGTGCCACGTACTCCTTGCTGAGGGGCTGCCGGACCAGCTCCGAGTGCACACACCGCACTCCAGAGAACCCCACGTCACACCTGGGAATGAGAGACACGGAACTAGAGACACACCCGAGGGGCTCCACTGCAGCATGGACTATGTGCTGAAATGCTGGCCTGCTGTTTCCTCAGGAATAAGCCATTTGAACTGATGTAACTCAAGCCCATGTGGTCCTAGAAATGGTTGCAAATTCTTCAGGTAAACAAGGGGTACCCTTAAAAATGCCTTTAGGCATAAAAAGGTCTTTATTTTGTAGGGTGAATCAAAGGGGAGACCCTTGGTGCTGTGCCTGAGATCTGGATCTCACACTACTGTAAATACAGATGGACAGGGAAGCACATCAGAATAAATGTCCCGAGTTGGGTTGGTGATTAATTTCTAGTGTCTGAGACTCTCACGCACTGAGATTTCACCGGAGGCAGCACATGTGCTTAACACTTGCCTAAATGCAGCTGAGGTGCAGTATAGACGTACTGCTTCTCTTCAAGTTCTTGTGAGCCTTTAATACTTGGCTGGCTGAGTATTCCAGCCAAGTGCCAGCAGCAGTGAGATCCAAGTTCACCTCCAAGCCCACCCCAGGGATACGTGCAGGACGCACAGAGCCCCGTCCACACCTGCAGTAGTGCTCATCCAAGTCCACGATGTACACGCACTGCCCATGGAAGCAGTAGTCCTTCATTTCAGGCTTGCATCTCGTTATCCCCACTTGGGCCACACGTGGGCTGTTCTCTGTCTGGACTGCAAGGAGATTTCATTAGCACCTCAGGAGGTGGGCGATGTTGCTTAGCAGAAAGGTGATTTCCAAGGGCACCTCAGTGAGGCTGCCAGCCCAGGGAAATTGGGAAGCAAAGATCTGCTGTTACAAAGAGCTGTGCAGTACTTACTGAGCGCTGTGGTGCAGTTCTCCATTTCACCAGGCCCACATAACGGGATCACTGTTGTCCCCAGGGCTGCCTGCAATAGGTAACCTGTGAGAGAATAAAAACAATAGTCAAAACTAGATGCATTTCGAGGTATTTAAGCTGCTGCACTCATTGATACAAGAAGGACAGAAACTTTTTATCCTAGTAGGAAAAACCCAGTGTTGTAAGCTGAAAAAATACAGGTCTGAGTGAGCTGCTGCCTATGTCATATAAGGCAGCCCAAAGACACATCTCTGAAATAAAAACTTTTGATGCAGAACAGAGATCAGACAGAAACCTGGTGTCTGTGACCACCTCTCACCCACACGGTGAGTGAACCTGGGGAGGAACAGGCTTGGAGAGATTACGCAGGAGGGCAGGAATTGGGCCATTTGATGATTATGTTAGCTTTCTGACTGGCCTGGCATGGCACCTGTGCAAGGGACACAGCCAGAGTTCCACAATTAGGCATGACAATCCAGCATTCATCACAGCAGTTCTTTCGCTGATAAAAATCAAGATATCCTTGAGTCACAACAGTCCACAGGAAGAGAATTTCTGAGGAGTCTGCAAGTCAGTGCAGCTGGTGACTCAGCACACCCCACCACTGGCTTCAGAGATCACAAGCTGCTTGAAGCAGTCTTAACTCAAAATCTGCTCTTTCCCATGAAAGAGCTCCCTCAGCCCTGTCCTTGCTGTAGGCAGCTGAAGGGCTGGACAGTTCCCACACTAAGACCCACCCTTTTTGGGCCCTGGGCCACTGTTACTTATCTCAGCAGAACCCCAGAAGAAACAGGCACAGCTTTCAGGAATTCCATTAGTTAAATGGACATTTCCAAACAGGATTTGAAGGCCAGCACAAGTATTCACAAGCATCGTGGCCTGCCCATGAGGAACAGTGAATGTCTGCCCCAGCTGGCCATGAAATCCACTTGGTTAACATTCCTGCTGTGGTCACAAATTAACCTGCTCATGAACTGCTTAGTCATCAGCCCCATTCCACGGAAGTCTGTAATTTGTGTCTTTGGGCTGTTTGCCTCTATTAACTTGTCAGGTCATGCATGTCTAATGGAGGGAGTGTGCCTCCATAATTTCTTGATCACTCTAATTCAACTCCAGTTATTAGAAAGTTTCATTACATCTCAGGGTTAAATCTAGTAGTGGTGATTTATGGATTTCCGGCAGCTCATCTATTTCTGGGTGATTAGTAGGCTTCCTTTATCCTTTATTCCAGCTACAAAGGAGGATAGCAGGAATATCTAAGAGGGACAGGGGTTTTTCCTGTGTTTCAGTTTTTAAAACCACCATTCCTTGCAAAGCTAAGAAGCCAGATTTCCATCAAGTTTTAGATGGGGCTCTCCCCCCTCCAGGGCCATAGCCATGGTATCAGATCCATGATGCTGGCACCTGCACAAGCTGGAGGTTCCTGCGCCTGCCGGCGTGACTCAGCAGGACCTGCCTTTCACTCCAATAGGGCAGGACATGCAAGTTTACTTTCAGGGTGGGATTTTCTTTTAAAGCAGCGCTGTGCCCAGTGCAGATTTCCTCAGAGGCAGCTGTTTAATGTTTCTGTAAGGCCAGTTTGAGTTGCCACGACAGAAAGTTCAAGTGTTCGAAAGAAGAGGCCATCGGCTGACAGATGCTGGCAGCTCAGTTACTGCCAGAATGGCAGACTGAGCTCCAGCA